TACGATATTTTAGACATCCACCTCTTGTGTTCAATGTTTTCGACAAATTACGAGGGTATCAACTAAATATAATGGATTATGTTTAGAATGTCACAATCAATAACGGAGGCCTTCGTATTTCACGAGTATTCTTCATGAGACGGCATAAGTCAAAGTAACAACCAAAATTCTATTGAAAGCCGTACCTTGTTTCTTTTCGTTGTACTGTTTCTTCAGACTGTGACGTCGGTAATTACTTTGGATCGCGACACAAGCTTCGTTGATGCGTTTATTCTTTATGTTCTCTAGATCATGAAGCTAATCATCAAAGATCAACAATTAACTCTATAGTGGAGCTCATGATTTGTATTAATGTTCTGCCCATAAGGATCAATAACCACCTATTTACATCAATCAGTCGGTTATGTCGATACCACTGCAATACGAATCCAAAACAATTGAAATTAAGAAAATAAAAGTAATTTACTTGATGAGAATAGAGCGCTTTTAGATTAAGATTCGAAAACCAAAACCAAGGTTATCACAACGGCCAATCAGGAGAAAGGAAAATACCTTTAAAAAAGAGCCAATTAGAACTCAAAGTAAGCCTAAAGCGCGGGAAAACGCGGGCGACCAAGTCCTGGCTGGTTTTAGTTTTGCATTTGATTGGTTGAGAAAGTGGCACGAGTTTTAGGGACCAATCACAGAGCGAAGTACAAGCCCAAACCAAAGCAACCTCGGATCACTTTCGAAACTCAATTGAAAATCTCTTTAAGGCGCACCAGCCGTGTTCTTACCGCATCAGGTTCTTTAAGAAATAACTTTGTTTTTCCAATTATCCATTTTCCAGAATCAAATCCAGCGGCTTTAAGTATAAAGCGACAAGCTTCAGCACGGTCACCTGACCAGCCATGTTTGGTTTCTGGAGCAATTATTCCAAACCTGTTATGTTTACACAGTTAAAGAAAGAACTGAGTTAGATAAAGTTTTACAATGGTGACAACATCGTGTGGATGTTTATTGAGAGAATATTTCTCCATTTGTACAACTTTGATTGCACTTGAAAAGATGATTATACCTTTTTCGAGTCGGGTGCCCGTAATACTATTGAATCTTAACAACCTGGCCCGGTTGTTCGAAGGGTATATAACACTATCCAGAGGATAAATCTCCATGCGGCGGATAGTGCAGTACGTTTTATGAACACTTATCCGCTGGATAGCGATTTGTCAATAGGATGTCGTTATCCTCCCTTTGAACCACTGACATATTTATGCTTAAATGAAACATGGTGGAATTTTATTTCCCTTTTTGGTTACCTTCTTAAGATACAATCAAAATTTCTGCGGATTGCAAATCCTGTTTTTCTGATGACAATGCTCTCTTTGAGTCCAAGATAACGTATCTGATTAATAACCCTAAAAGAAAAATATTGTTGACTGGTTTAGAAAGACTAACTGACTGTAACAGTTAAGCAATCGAATTTGAGGACAATAACTTTCTAACGTTAAATTTTCTCGTGAGCACCCAATTTACCGAAGTCTTTCTATTACGCGCTGGATAAGCATAAAAACCGCTCGTTCAATGAAATGAGTGCGGTCTAAGCACTTTTTCAGACGCTGTTTCTCTGGCAAGTTTAGCATTTTAGTTTAGCAGTAGAATAAAGGTGATTGTTATCAAACTGCACAAAGAAGAGTACAAACAACGCGTGAATAAAGTACAAATATCCTACGATATTTTACTGTTATTTGGACAGTTGGTTATTTTGTACTCCATAAAAACCTTTTAACCAGTCAGCTGCACACACTACGTTTCTCTATCGGCTTTGCTTTTACCGCCTAATGAGAAATGAACTGAAAGACTCAGCAGAAAAAAAAAGCAATTGGATAATAAAGAACTTATTGGACGTTTTGGTGTGTAGTATCGCTGAGTATTTTTATTCGTTGTTGTATTTTAACTCGCCCTACGGGCTCGTCAAAATACGGCACAACTCGTAAAAATACCCAGGGATACCACATACCAAAACGTTCAATAAGATATATGTATGTCGTGTACCTTTGTTGGTTCCAGGCCAGTGGAGTTTTCTGTTCCGATGTTTTGATGCATCTGACGTAATGCGGACTACATGCCATGATCTTGCCAATCACACCGTTTGTCTGAAACTGTAAATGAAACAAAAAATGATTTTCTATTTTGGGATTGGAGACAAGTTTCAGATAGAGAGTAAGAAATGGAAACTAGAAACAAATCAATGCTGCAGAAATTGTAATTAAGCTACCCGGCAAATTATAGGATCAACAATTTTGTGGGCAAAATTAATGTTCAGCAACGTTGAAAGAGTAATATCTCAGACGATGGTATCTCACAGCTGAAATTGTGGAAGAATAACTAGAAAGAAATTGACCGACAGGAAAAAAATAATGGTTTATATATAGGTCTAGATTGGTTTTGCTTGCTGACCTTTATCTTAGCAGAGCCAGTGTTTGTTTTATGTCCTCCTTCCCCTACGCCATAAACTGTTTCAGGAAACAAGTCTCTGACAAATGAACTGCAAAAAGAAAAGCAAACAAACAAACAAACGACTGAAAAAACAAGGTACATTTCCGACATTCCATTTCCGTGAGTATAATACAGAATGCATTAATGAAATCAATCATAAGTCATAATTTTGAAGGTTTCATCCTTTTTATTAATCTTTTTTTTTTTGGTAATTCGATAGGCACTCACCTTTAAGTGAACTAATTTTGAGCCCGCGAACTCACAATGTAAGTTTAATTTCAGATGCCGTGAATTAAAGAAAAAATTTAAAGTATCATGAAGCCTGCAGTCCATAATTTCAGAATGAATTCACTGTGCTTGCAACGTTCGATAGCTTTCTTTTATGATCCATTAGTGTAAATAACATTGTTTAAAAATTAAAGGTAGAGGTCGGTCGCTGTTAAGTTAACAGTCAAATAACAAATAGCGTAACGATTACTAGTATTCATACTTTTCACTTGACTGCATCAAAGATATTAGATCATTTGACAGCTCGTCTTTGTTTCTCTCGCGAAAGCCACCGAATTCGTAATCAACCTATTTCAAATGAGAAAACATTCCATGACTCAGCACTCATACAGAGATTGACTACTTTTTTTTAACGACACAATTTCGTGAGGTGATCATGAATTACAAGTGCTTTACAAACTTACACTCCCTGCAAAGTGTTTCACTGTAAAGTAGTCATGGTGAACTTGAAGTAATTCCTGATGCGCTTTATTGGAACCAACGATCTCCCTCCTTTTCTGACGAGAAAAATTATTCAAAAAAACAAATGCAAGGCAGAAGAGTAAGTAATAATAAATATATAGATATATAAATATATAAATATATAAATATATATAATAGTAAGGAATAATAGAACCCACTCGAGCAACAAATATAGATTTCAAGTAGTAATTGATATAAATCAAAATTAGTTAATTTCTGTTTAACCTGTTCAAAAGTCCTCTCAGATCCTTCTTTTTTGCTTTTCACTGGGCAACATGCTTCATCCAAGGCTGACATGATTCCCGAAGGGCGCTATGGGAGAAGAAAACGTCTTATACATGCAACTTGGACACGAAACATTATCTGATGACCGATGCTCAACATTGAGAGGCAGATCTTGAGAAAGACAATACATTACAAAACAAATGTAGCATACCTTGCTTTCGATGAGGTCGCAGACTATCTTATTATTGAAGTAATTTACGGTTTTCCAGGCAATACCTTCTCTGATATATTCTTCCTGATAACATAAAGGTTAGCTATTCATAAGTGACACTGTACAACTGAACTGTTTTCATTCCTTCAAATGACAACCATGTTAAACTGGTGACACTTGATTTGTAAAGCAAATTCCAATTTAGAAAGAATTCGTTCATTACCTGTTCAATTGTAAATGTAAGTTCCACAAAAACTTGTTGAAGTTTCTCGTCCACGTAGTTGATGGCGAACTGTTCAAAGCTATTTTCCTGGTAATGAGTCAAAAACGCATTTTACACAAAAGTAACGTGGGAAGCCCAGTGGTCTTATAGTTGGTGTGCAGGACCTCTCGGGTCGAGAGGTCCGGGTTCGAGACCTGGCTGGGTAATTGTGATAGGTTCTTTATCAAAACACTTCACTCTCACAGGGCCTATTTCAACACAGGAGTATAAATGGGTGCAGGCAATTTTCCAGGGAGTCTGATGACATGCTGCGGGGTAACACCTTAGGATGGACTACCATCTCATCCAAAAGGAGAAGTGATACTCCAAGTCCCTTCATGCTAGGGAAGCTGAGATAAACTCCGGCTTTTGGAGGGGGGGGGGGGGGGGTTGGCTACTTGGCTTGAGTACAGACCTTACTTACTTTTTGCACAAAAAGTACGAACACGAAAAAGTTACTTCGACTGGGCATGGCAGAGCGACAGACGGAAAGAAGAGGTATACTCACTTTGAAAGATTCAAATCCATAAATGTCCAGTATTCCGATGGATAAATAGTCGTTATCTTTCTTTAGGGCATCATTGATAACCTGTTCTCGAAGTTAGTATGATTAATTAAGCGGAACGATTGAAACAAAAAAGTAAGGAAGTACGTAGGAACGGACGGACGGAACGAATAGCTAGAGTATATAAGTGTTACGAACCTTGACGAGGTAATCAAACAAATGTGAGTATAAGGCTTTAGACAGGGTATCGCGGGCAGCCACTGCCTGTGGATGTATAAAGATATGAAACATATTACAAAAAAAAACAGGACAGAAACAAAATAATGGGATTCAATGATACCCACCTGACATTTGTTGTTGGTTTTCTTTGTTATTTCAACTCTTCCGCCGCGGCGAGTTTCTACGAAGACACTATTTTTAATAAAAAAAAAAATTCTCAAAAAAATAATCTCTTCGGCTCATTTCAACCTCAAGTGCCAACTTCTTAACATAATATGGGTACAACCTTACTTTTCTTAGCTTTTTCTTATTTTCTTACCTCACTAGTTTCTCCTCTAAGCTCTCTCTATTAATTCCGAGTATTTGAGAGAGGCTTTCAAGCACTGATGTATACAACGAAATAGAAGCAGAACATGTCAGTTTTATAGCAAACTATGGAAAAGTTAAATCAACGGAGAAGGTAAAATTTGTGTCTCTAAAAGTCACGAAGAACAACAGAAATCCAAACTACCATTTTGATATACAGGATTGTTAACGGAAATGTAAAATCGAAGTTCTTGCTTTTATTGTGCTAATCAACATTTTACGTTGAGTATCACGATCTTAAGGCAGAAGACAGAAAGCACTTATTTAATGACTGTAATGCGCAGGTCACTCACAGTGATAGCTACGGAAGACAAAGGGGAAATTAAGTAACACTTGAACTTAACTGTAATTTGTAACCTTAACGACGCTCTGCGATGATTGACAAGAGTTATGTCTTAGATGAGATAAATTTTACGCAAAAGATTGGTTTCACGAGATGAAAATAAAATTCTTACAGTTCTGTTTGGTTGGACAGGCCACATTTTCAGTTTCTTTAAACTCAATGTTACCAAGAGTTAGGATAGCGGACAACACTTTGAAGATAATCTGTTGCTTCGCAGTGTCTACGCCGATCACGTCCAGTGCAGTCTGAAATAAAATAGCGAGTCACGTATTCAGTGTAGTGTTCCTCTATCATTTCAATTCAGTCTCCCATATCAATTTGGCTTCATCTTATCGTAAACATTATTTAATCAAAAAAAGTCCGTTCGGGCGTAAGCCGTGTTTTAGCCTGTTTTTACCACATAGAAAATCTAAAAACAGTTGCGCTATCCTTCACAAAGTATGTAGAGCTTTCTTATCAACGCACCCTTGTTGCTAAAAAGTCGTTCTTGTCATCTTTATTGTCAGTAGTGTACACTTCACTTTGATTTAAATAGAAAAAATTCTCCGCGTTTCCTTGAAGGCCATACTGACCTGAAAAACAAAAATTAACTTAACATCATTGTACTCTTGCTTAACTTCGCTCTGTGATTGGTCAGAAAAACTCCAGCTACTCTCTCAACCAATCAGATGCAAAACTAGAACCAAATATGACTTGATCGCTCGCATTTTCCCGCGTTTCAGGCAGTTTGGTTGTTTCTAGTTTCTCTATGTTCTCATTAGCTCTTGAAGGTACATGTATTCTCCATTCTTCTGATCGGCCTTTGTGGTTTCTTTAATTTTGTTTTTTACGACACTCAATCGAGAAGATTTCTAGCAATTTTCCCAAACTTACGGAAATGCATCGGTGTAAAGCAGCATTTAAAATGTCTGTAGAAACGAAAGTTTAGTTACCTTTTTCCTTGCTCGTACAGCCGGACAACAGCTGGTAAAACACGTGGAAGTTACGTTCGCCTTGTGTCAAGTGAGTTACACGATACTGAAAATTAATGTAAAAGTAATTGCAACAAAGAAAAAAATTAGTATGATAACTTTTAAGAGCAACACACACATAATGGTAAACAGAACTAGTGATTAGTGGATAGCTGACCTTTTCTAGCCAAAATTTGTAGATTTTTCCTCCATTTGGTTGCCCGTTCTGGTTGAACTGTATCTCAAGGTATTTTCCCTGTCAATTGAGGAAACAATCTAATTTTTTTTGAGTCATTCCTGGCTCTGTCTTTTTTTGAGAGTACAAAATTAACTTACAAATCTACTTGAGTTACTGTTCCTTATGGTTTTTGCATTCCCAAACGCTTCCAGTACAACTTGAGACTGAGCTATAATGTCCTTAATATGCTGAACAGGAAACAAATAAAACAAGTTCTTTAGTATCTGTGATTACTTAGAGGGGAAAAAGAAAATAATCAGTACTCACAGAGCGAGGCATATTTACCTGTATTCTATCGGATCCTCGGCCAGAAACTTTGTTGATACAACTGAGTATGTGCCGTGCAGATGTAGTCTTACCAGCTCCACTTTCACCACTACAATTTGAGAAATCAAAAAACCATGTTGAAGTTAACGAAGAATGAGCCTCCTCTTCCCAAACGACAAATAAGTGATAAAGTGGTCGGCGACACGATATGAACGCAGTAATCAGATGTAGTGTCTGTACTGACCACGGTTGTTCAAAGAGTGGATAACGCTATCCATTGGATAAATCACTATCCAATGGATTTATTCGCTGGATAGATTTATCCGCCCTTTGACCAACTGAGCCTGTTGGTCAAACTCAAAATCCTAACACATGAAAAAAGATTGTACCGCTCTGAGCTTGATCATGGTTAGCTGGTTCAAACTTGATCATCTGGCACAACTTACATTAGTCTTTAAACTGAAAAAACGAAAATTTAAACTGAAATTATTTCATTCTCTCACAATATATAGGCTGATTGGCCAGACCCGTGTTGACAGTCTGTAGTAGGTCTGTGCTTCGTATCCTTATCAGGATCATACTAACTCTGTCCCATTTTTATAACAAGCGAATTCTCCAGGAATAATTCCTAAAACTGAGCTATAGTTATTCATTTATCAACCCTCACACCTTATTATGACACATTGGTTTTCTTTCTCTATCATCATATTGTGATACATATCAGTTGTCAGTCCGTAAATATGAGGAGGCTTAGGTCCCTGTAAACAAAAAAAAAAAGAGCGATAACAATTAGCTATCTTCCTGCTTAGTCAAAAATAAACTAAAATAATCTATAAATTATCATGACGATGGTAACGCCGGCATCCGAATGTTCAAAGTGCTTTTCAATATTAAAAAGATGTAAAAACTGAAAAAAACGTTTTAAAATGCTTTTTTGAAAAGAAGCGTTTTAAGTCCACTTTTAAAAGTACACAGTGACGAACTGTTTCTGACGTTATATGGCAAAGCATTCCACGGTGTTGGGGCTGCCTCGGAAAAGGATCTTGCACCGTACGTTTTTTTAAGCAAAAGGTGGAAGGTGTAAGAGTATCGCGTATATACGAAGGTGCCAAACTTTTAAGAGCCTCGTAAGTTTTGGGTAAAATTTTAAAGATAATACGGTAATTTATTGCAAGCCAATGGAAAGAATTTAAGTAATATGATCGTGATTCTTGATTTAATTAGAAGCTAAAAATGGTGAAATCCTTAATTTGTATCGATTAAAGTTTCAATACATGGATGCCTTTTTACCTTGTGTGTATTAAGATTTTCTAAATATTTTGTGTGAGGCTCAAAAGCTGGCAGCTTAGCTGTGGAGCAGCGTGATACTCGATCTCTATGAAGAGGTACAGTGATTCCTCTCATTTCACACTCAAGCTCATCAACTTTACTTCCATCTTTACAATAAACTTCAAGAGTGTCTGCGCCATAAATATCCAGGGCTTTGTATGGATTGACGGCAATCAACACTCGACCAATGTATGTCTGAAAAACAAATTCCCCCTATAATGTGTTAAAGTTTTAACAGTGACATCAAGCTATCCAATACAGCAAAGACAACGAAAGCGTCACTATAACTTTACATTTTCCAGCCGTCCTCTGCAAAGCAACAACGCGAGAACATAAAAACTTGCGTGGTCTGGAACTTAACGCCGGTTTGGCGCCGTTGTAGATGGTAAACATACCTCTGGCAAGAGAATGTCATCAACATTTTCTTGCCTCTAGCCGCATTCGCGAAATCCTCAAGAAAAATACAAATTCATTTTTAATCGACTGGTGTGTTTAAGGTTTTGAATGTTTTGAAAAGAATAGTACGTTGAAACACCTTTTTTCCCAGTAAAGAGAAACGCGAATCAAGAAAAGCACCTCGTAAGTAAAATGTTGAATTGAATACTTACGTAAATAATTCCAGCATTTAAGCGATGTTTTAGGTTTTCAGCGACAGCTTCATCTGAAACATCTCTCAACATGGTCATATCATCCTGACCAACTGGTTTGGACCACATTTTCATAAAAACTAGATATACACTTGTATCTAACAAGTAGGAAAAAAGGAATAAAAAGCCTTATACCTTTAATAAAGAGTAAACGTGACATTAACTTTTTTCCGGAAAACGTTGGAGTCGTCAAATGGAAAACAAAAGCGAAACGCGCCATCACTAAGAGCGACGGATTTTGAATTTTAACCAGAGAGGAAGGCCATTTGTTTACAAATAACCACCATCATAACTAAATAAAATCAAATGTTTACCTGATGCGAGAACTTTCACAAATTTGTTGTCAAGATTCCGCACAGTCTTCCGCGTCTTCACAGCTTTGGAAATGAAGATTTGCGTATATGATGTCACTGAGGACTTGCCTCACAATACTGCATGCGCGTGGACTGCAGCGCGAGCATGTTTCAAGTTTGGAAAATAGCGTCATTACTTGTGAATTTTTTTTTGCTGTTTTGGGTGTTGATGCTTAAACTAAGAAATAATTCGCCTGTATTTTTAAGCATTTCGCACAACTGGTCGCGCAATAAGTTCGTGCAATATGGTGCCTGCTCGTAATCTTGATTGTACCGATAAAACGATTGCAAATGAAGTTATCATGGGTTACGTTACCTATTATTTGGAGTGTTGCATCGTATGTCGTTACAATTGCTTCAATAGCAGATCTACAGAGAGCTGGTATATATACTGCGATGCTTTCGTTCGTATTCATTCACGTCATACGAACGTCTCTGCGCCCTTAAAATTAAATAACCAATGAGTGAGGGCTGTCAGTTTTTCATATACATATTTAAAAAGAGCATGCGTAAGACTCAGTGCGTTTAATGTACTACAGTCGTTTGCTTGCTGTATTTTGAACCTCTCAGAGTTTCTGTAATTTTGCTGTCAGTTTTTCATATACATATTTACAAAGAATTTGCGTGAGTTATTGCGTTTTTTGTATTATTAGTTGTTTGCATGTTATATTTTGAGCCTTTCAGAGTTTCTGTAATTTTGCTTGCAAGACATAACAAAAAGGGTCGCACACGGCTCTTGTTGACACACCCCAAATACGGTTGCCTATTACATGTAAATGCTTTATATTCGTTTGAGCGGGGTAGCAAATTAGAATATAGGAACCCTTTTCGTTCCTTGGTAATAAAATTTTTAATCACAAATTTGTTCCAATCTGCTCAGATCGGATATGCACGTCACTGTTACATTCTTTTATTTACGACGTGCTTAGTGGACGGCTAGCATCTCGCTGAACACAGGTGCGCCATTTGATTGTTTTATAAAAACCTCCTGGGCGACTTAATCTGAAGAAGTTTACTTGAAAGAAGAAGTGTTTCTATCGAGACAAATGAGTGGTCGACACAAATTCAGTGTAAAGGCAGTAAGTTCGGTGAAGGAGTATAACAAGAGAAATTTGTTTTATCAACTGATTTGATAATGTAAATTAGCCACCGCAAAGAGTTTCTAAAGCCAACATTTCGGGCGTTAGCCCTTCGTCAGAGCGAATCCGTTTTCTTAGACAAGGCCTCCAATAACTTTTTCCGTAAGTGGGGACCGATGGCGTAATACTGTAGGTTACTGTGCTCGGAAGAGGGCCGTGATCACGAGGTGGAATCCAAACGCGAGAGCCTGCTCAGGGCTTAAACAGACGGCGGTAAGAGGTATTACG